CAAGCTTTGCAGAAAAAGCAAAAAGAGACCAGAAGAGTGAAAAAAGTAAGTGGATGCTCTCCTTTAAAAAAGAAAAAAAAAAAAGACATAACCTTGTTCTTGAATTTTTGTTTAACATAATATATACTTGTCCAGTTATGACATAAGAAAACTGCTGTGTTGGTGTTTTTTTTTGGTTTGGTTTGGTTTGGTTTTTTTTTTTTTTTGCTTTATGGAGTGAGCTTCAGTCATTAGCTTGGGCGGGGCAAATTTTCTATCTATTGCTTAGTACTTTGTCTCCATACATCTTTTCATGGAGGGTTACTATAAATACAGCACAAACTGAATTGTCCAAAGAAAAGCATTCTGATTTTCAATGTTCTCATTTTAAAGCAACATGTCTGCTTTCTATTGGGTCTTCTGTTCAGCACATCTATATCTCTTTTCTCTCACTGCTTAGGCAATTAACTACATCTCAGAACCCTCCAGGGAGATAGGTATTCCTGTCTCATTCTACCAGTGAGGAAGCCATACCACAAAATACTGAACAATTATCCAAGGTCACCAAGCAAACAAGGAGTAGAGCTAGTAATCACAATTCCTGAATTCCACTTGCACTGTATCCCAAGTGCATTGTGCTCTCTTTACATGCATGAAGTATATATGACCTTGCAAAAATGGTGGAGATTTTTCCTTATAGGAAAGAAAAATATTTTATTCTGAATTAAAAGCAACTTCTGTTTCTAAAACACTGAAAGCTAAGTGAAAAATGAAATTAAACCGTTAGATTACTTGCTGTTAAATACATCATAACTATCTAAACAGAATAGCTTTTTCTAATCTCTTCCTGGCCACCTCTCCAAAATAACTGACCAGAGATTAGTAAAATTGTGCCAAATAATTGTGGGCAATACTCAGATGTTAAATAATTTGCTAAGAAGAAAAAGTGATCAGGTCTTTATTATTACAGGGACTAAGCAATGAATGTAAATACAAAAATATTTGGAAATAACACATTCATATGTAAAACACAAGCTGTTAATATGGGTTTTTTTTAATTACAAAGCATCCATTAAGGTGGTCTGCCTTTTCATTATTGCATTGTTTCCCTTTTTGCGTTTGTGAAAGAGTTTTATTCAATGCTAGAAAGTTCCTTTACATAGTTGCAGAATACAGATTGAAGAGTGAAAAAAAAGTGTCTGATATGTGCTTATCTTGAATTTTGTACTTGAAGACATTTGAGCCACATGATAGCCACATGGATGGGCCACTGAATTTTTCTGTGCTTTCAGTAATACATAGATAAAATAGTAAGACAGAAACAACTTCATACGTACCTCTCTCTGTGCTATAAATGTTACCATCTAGATCCCATATTCTCAGGTTAAAAATGGTATGACCTTTTTTCGTTCCGACTCTCCTGTAAGAAAAAAATCTAGCTATGATTCTGTATTTAAACTTTAGATAAGAGCTAATGAGTCTCTTAGCACTGATCAACAAATAATCTTCAAAGAAAGCCTCAGCTAATATATCAATAGTCTATAATAGATATTGAAAGCATTTATATAACTCATTTAACACAGTATAATAAATAAAAGTCAATCTGAACCATAAAAAGCAGTGCAAAAATGCAATTTCAATCAGTCATAAACCAAGGGTGCTGATTTACTGTGATAATAATTAATTTTGTATCCTAAAAGTGAGCTTCAAATACCAATTGACAGGGAGCATACAGCAAAATGAAAGTCTGCAGTGTAATTAAAAGGGCTTTGCCCATGTCTTTTCATTTCTTATCAAAGTAGCTACAGCACTTGTTTCCACACCCACAGGAATCCTCATGCCCAAGCACACTCAGGTTCCTCACATATAAACTCTATTATGTTTCCATCATGCTGCTATAACCTATACTTTTAGTTTCTGAAAGCAAAACATACACTATTTCTCCTTAACTTAGAATGGCAAAGTTGGCAATAACACCAAGTTCCTGAAAAAGCTGGACCCTCTGCCCTCAGTCATTAAGCTGCCTGTGGGGATGTCTTTTGTCACAGTCTTTGACATCTGATAGCACTGGGGACAGTCAGAAGTGAAAAGGACAGGGTATGAGTGGAGCCTGCTATGGCAGAAGGACTGGATGGAGGTCTGGACGTCACAGAGGGAAGAGAAAGGTCAGGCTGCACAGGGTTTCTTTTAACAGGAATCAGAAGAAGGAAAAGGAATCAACATTAAAGCACAATGACCGCCCTGCACATTTCTTCAGCTCTTGGTCAGTCTCTCACTTGCAGTTCTCCCAATTATCTTTCTGTCTCCAAAGCTACACCTATTACCTGCTCTTCACCTGAAATCCCTCTCAGTTTCCACTTCATTAACATGTGACTTTACTAAGATGAAATACATCCAGGGTCTTTTTCCTTCCCCTTTTGGTACAGTTTTTCAGAGACAGACCGGGCTCCACTGTTCTCCTCAAACACAGTGAAACTGGGCCTGGTAATCAGTCTTTCAACCATTCTGCTGTCCAGCAAGCTACTGAGATAGTCTATATGGCTCCAATCTTCTAAGACTGTTCCTGAAGATAAGAGTTTTCCATTCTCAGAAGCCCTGTTTCTTCTCTCCGTGCTGAAAGAAGAAAGCTTACATTGGACTTCTGAAATGGAGACATGAAAGACCAGCTTTGCACACCAAGGAACCTTTAATTACTAGCATGCGGATATATTATTGTTCATTAAAAATCCCCACAGGAAAAAACCCACTAGTAATCTGACTTCTTTTTTGTTGTGGCTGCATCCTGTAATTTATTGGCATAGTGTAGTTCAGAGACTCTTGATAGTGCTGCTCCCTATCATGTTGCTTTCTCCATAATAAATATGTAATCCTTTACTGCTGTATGAGTAGTAGATGCCGGTGTTTTCCCACTTGAAGGCCTTCATCCCAAAAGTTCTATCTATGTTTTGGCTATGGATTCACCTGTTAGTACACTGGGGTCTATCGTGCAATATCAACAGGAGCTGTCAGCTGTCATGGTGTCGCTGATGGTGCTGAAGTTTGAAATCAAGCAAATAGGTCGACCATGTTACTGAGAAAGAGACTTGTACCACAAATTACAGTCTGGTTTTGTACTGTATCAAGAGCAGCAATTTGCTTTAAGAACAGTCAAGGAAAAACAGCTTCCTCCAGTTGGTAATATAAAGTCATTTTTCAATGCATGAGTACTATCAAAAATACTGTACATTTCACCTTTATACAAAGGTGTTTCAGTCCAGATGAGTGAGAGGACTGAAAGGGAACAAGAAATTGGTTTGTCTTTGCGTTGTACATTTAGTGAGTATGTTTACTACTTCGGTCATTTTCATTTATATAAATAAAGCTTCTCCTTTTCCGTATAAATCTCAATTCTCCCTGAGGCCTCTCTGCAAATGCAGTGACACTTCAGCAAAGGGTAATTGAAGCTGCAGCAAATTTACAGCAAAATGCCATTTTTAAAGGGTGTAATGAAACATACTGCAGAGGGAGGATTTTTAAATTCACTATATGGAAACTGATTCCCTCTAGGAATGAGAGACCTGAGGATTTAGAACTATATCATACTGGCTGCTACTTCTTCAACCCTATAGGCAATAGCTTTCCACAGTAAACTTTGGGTTTGTGTGACCGTAAAACCCCTGATATTCAAGAAGAGAACATCCTGAAGAGCTCAAAGAAAAAGAAAATTAATGGAGTGCACCAGAAAATCACAACAGGAGTGTCTCTTGTTCCATAGTAACATCAGCTGCTACCCAGTCCTCTCCAGAGATGTCCACATGTGTCTAATACATGCTAGCCTGAACCTCACTTTAAGCTGTACAGATGCTATTCCCCTCATACTCCAAGCTTTCCCCTCATACCCCAAGGCAGCAAGATAATGAAATGTAGTTGCAAAGAAGACATCTTGCAGAGAAGAAATAGCTTTCAGAATTTTAACAGGCTTTTTATGTTTTATATTTTCATTGTTCTATTTTCACGTAGTATTATTGTTTTACAAAAGGAATCTTTGATAGCTGTTTTAACCATTTAGTATTTTTGTCTAGTGCCAACTAATTTTTTTTTAGTGGTCACATAAATCAGCAGTCATTAGCAAATACAAGATACGCAACAAGAATGTTGCACTATGATGTGATATAAGATAGATGATACATTATGATTTCAGAATTTCCATTTTAATCACTCTACATGATCACTTGAAGTCAGTGGAAAACAAAACCAGAAATCATTTCACAATCTACTATCTGATTTAGGAGAGAATTCAAGTTTTGGGTTAAACTGCTAGACTACAACTGTAGGTAATTACCTGATTGCTCAGGGTTAACTTCCAAAATACCTTGTTGAGGAGGGGAGAATACTTGTAGAAGCTTTATAAAAACTGAACTAGATTTACAGTTTTTATCTTGATCTTTCTGAGCATATTTCATTCACAGAATTTGAAAAAGTGTTCTAAAGATAATGCATAGTAAAATCTTTTTGCTTAATGTAGTAGGTTCACTTCTACACATTTGTTTTTCTTCCATTATTTTCTTTCTTTTCATCTCAAATGGAAGTAAAAAATCAAACATACCTCTCTTATCCTTTCATCATTCAACTTCTCATCTTGTTACCATACCAACTACATTAAATGCTATTCAAATTTGTGCTTTAACTTAAATGCTAGAAACTCAAAACACCAAATAAATTCTGAACTGGCAGACTAAAGCAGTAATTTTTCCAGAGCTGACTGTACCATCACCACAGTAGTTATTCATTCTCTAGTGAAAGTGAAGGTGTAAGGCTCTTTTTTCATCCTGAGATAGACAGATTGCCTGTGTATAGAAGTAGGTTAGTTTTCTGTAAGTTTTGTGTGGGAGGGTAAAGAAATGGATAACACCATCCTCATTTTATTTTTCTAAAGGTTTCTGCCAAAATCCTCAAGAATTTTGACAGCCATTAGCAGCAGCATCCCTTTGTTCTTTCAGTTTTAGATATTTACAAAACTTGTTTTTCTCTTCTGTTTTTAGCACAAGAAGAATGGGCCACAACCCGTTCCAGCCTAAAGGCACCACCTCCAAGGTCAGCCAGAGGGGGTTACAGGGAACACCCCTATGGTAGATATTGAAGGTCCTCCTCATCTGTGACCTCATCTCAAAGACAATTAATAGCCTGTGGTCTCCACATAAACAGCAACAAGACAAGTAATAGTCCATTTCTTTTCTATCCTAGGGATTACTGCTCATTATTATCCTATGTACTACTTGTATTTCCTATAACATTGGCGTGATATTGGCATTAGTATTATTTTATAACACGGACTTAAAAAAACAGAGACAAAAAACCTTTGGCAAACATTGTCTATAAACTATTCAAAGATGATGTTCTATTGGTTGTATTCATTGCTGTGTGTAACTTAAAAAGCATGACACTGTTACAGATCTCGAGTCTCTCTACATACTAGCTAAGGCTGAGTTTCTGTTTAGGGTTGCTAAAAGACTGTAATATGATTCTTTTTTTCCTTTTTTTTTTTTCTTTTTGAACCAGACAATAATCAAGCTGTAGATAAGATGTTTAACCTGTCTTTTTAATATATGTTAGTTTAGATTAAGATGTTCGATATTAAGTTTGTAAATTTAATTTTAAATGCTGTTTTAATGGGGTTGAAAACAAGCAGCTACTGTATGTATGTAGCTAACTGAAGTTGTTCAGTGTTTTAACCTGTATTTGTTAAAAAAATCACTTAAAGTTCCATGTGTAAGCTTCTCTAAATAGGAAACCATAATTTTGTCAAATATGTTTGCCATAATTTGTCAATAAAGCTGAAACCTTTTGTAACAAACTAAATTTGGAATTACTTGTTTTCTAGCTTTAAATGCCTGCTTTATTTCTTTTTCAAGAGATGCCTAAAATGTTTTTTATATAAAAATTACAAAAATGAACCCAAGCCTGTTTAAGATTTTTTGTGTAAGAATTTAAAAGTTGTATTAATAACTTCTGGTTGTTAAATAATTTAAAAGTTAACAAACTAAACTGTTACATGAATCATGGTTAGTATCCACTAATGTATAACATGTTAATGGAAAAAAATGCTTTAGAACAATAAATGGATTTTAAACTATCCTTTAAGCTTGATCTTGCTAAACACAAACTCTGATTGACTTGTTTGTATTAGCATGTCTCTCGTGAGAATGTAATGGAGTTTAAAGAGGTAAGATTACCACTTACCACTGTTAGACTGTCTAAATGCTAGTTCTTCAACCTTTGAGTTTCCCCGCACATTAAATATCCCATTCAACATGTAAGCATTGCATAGACTCACCTATTTGTTTTCACTCAGAAGAGTGCGTTGACTGCATTTTTCGTAGTATATAACAATTTGTCTTGATAAACAAATCATCAGTGTCACTGCCCAGTTGTTGGTACTCAACTTCAAAAACTTTATTTGTAATTTTCAGTGCTAAATATCACCGCCCTTGAAGGCAGTTTAGAGGGCTGATATTCTTTTGAGACTATCAGACTTGATGGCTGATGATTATTAAGGAAATATGTCGCAGGACTCAAAGGATGACTAAACGTTAAACAGGTAACACTAATAGTAACTCTGTAATTTTGAGTATGCAACAGTAATGTAAAATATTCTCAGTTATTAAGTTACTGATAGTTAAAAAAGTAAACCTACCAAAAGATAACAAATAGGTATATAGGCTATTAAAACAACTAATTAACATTAACTAGTGACAACAAAATTATTCTACAATATATAACCCTCAACGTAATAAACAGAACTAAAATTAACAATAATAGTAATGCAACTCTTGCTAACAACAAATATATAACCTAAATTTTGATGAAGAAAAAAAAAAAGAACAGAAGACTTGATGGTAGGGATGCCAAAACTGTTAATCCTTTAAATACAGTCTTTTTGTTTACAGTGGCTTTTTGTCAATGTGATTGGTTTACTTTTTTGATGAGACTAAAGTACAGGCCAATTGCTGTTCAGTTTGTGAACAAAATCTCTTGCAGCTGGAGTTGCATGCTAGCTCTTTTTGAATAGTTTATGATGAGTATGTTTTGTCGTTTGAAGTGTTAAAGTGAATTTAGGAGGCTACATGATGGTTACACTGAGTTTATTCTGTCTCACTGTTTCAGGGACTCACAACCACTGGACAGCTAAGCAGCAGATCTGCTGAGAAGTGGTCAGGTAAGCTCTGCCGCATCTCAGGGGATTTTCCTAGTTCCTATTTTATCTGTACATTTGTTGATACTAACAACGTATTCATCAACATTTTTAAAGTAAATATTTCTTTCCAGCAATGTTTCTCTGCATAGCAGAATAAGGATTATGGTGTAATGGCAAACAAAACATTTACTTTTATATCTTATGATACTCCTCACTTAAATAAAAGAAGTGTTGTCATCTAGTCTTTTAATGGTAAATATTAAGATGGTATATTTTTATAATGCTCCTGCTAAAAACATGAGCTACCATTTATTAAAAGCATGCCTACATTTGGAAAAAAAGCTTGTCACATAACATAGAAAAATACAACACTAGCTTATCTTTGCTTCTGAAAATATTTATCATTTCTTCCTGTGACAAATGTATCTGTATAGAGACAGGAAGTTTATTATTTATTCTTATGCTTGGTGCATTTTTCTTTTTTTATGGTTTAGAATGGCAAGGACATTAATGGTATTCTTATGCAATGGCATGAATAACTTTCTGTATTCCTGTTTAAATATCTTTAAACATAAAGATTTATCTTGGATTACTCTTTTAAATAGACTTCAGATTATATATGAGAATTTGGCTGAAGACCAATGTCAGTGCTGGAAACAAACAAAAAAATTCAGCTCAGTTACAACTTTGTCCACAGACTCAGAAGTGTAAACCTTATCACAATACAAAAACTATACATTCTCGTCCTCTTTCATGATTGTTAAACTTGATAAGAGTTAATAAGCAAAACTGATCATGTTGTGCACCAAATACACAGTCTTAGACACATCTATTACTCTGGCATCTTTTCCCATGACTGTGGTCTGGCTGATTTATCATTTTCCAGCTATTGTGGTATTCCCCGGTTACTTACAAACCACAAAGTGTGTTGTATAGCATATAAAGGGTTTAATTATCTTCTCCAAAGGGTTGCCTCAAGATCCTGATAAATTAGTTTTATTTATGTGCTGCAACCACTCTACAGGCCAAAGTGATATAACATGGAATTAAGGTTTGTCTGCATAGTGCAGGCACATCAGTGTGAGTGTACCACTGTAGAAAAAAGCTTCCAGCTTGTAGTCATGCAAATTTGCTTCAGTCAGGATACATCTATACAAATATAGATATATCTATACAAATACCAAGAAAAATACTTCCCACTCTAGGTATGTTTTCATCATACTGGTATAACTGTGATTATAGATTACTATACATTAAAGATTTTACTATATAAGTGTTCCAGGAAATGTTCACATCCCTTACTGAAATGATAAATTACACAAAGCTGTGACTAGGTCATACCTGATGTATGACCAGGGCAAAGTACATGGAACTAATTTCTCACTTGTGTATCAGATTTTTATATGAGGGTAACTACTGTGAACTCCTTGAGGACAGACTCCAATAAATATAGCATTTTAGCAGAACACTGTCCTTTAATATTCCTGTCTCCAAGTCCACTTTAAAGCCATTCTTTGTGTAGATTAAAAAAAAGGCAGAATATATAAGTAAATTTATGCACTGTGAAATATTCTTATATAAGAATTATTTAGAAAAAGTAGGTTAATAATTCAGTGTAAGCAACTGTTTTTGCAAACAGTTTTTCTATTGATTTTCAGGAAAATAGTATGAAAAATTACGCATGACTGCATGTGTTGTTCTGTGCCAACTACAAAGTATAGTTCACAACTGTTTCTAAAGTCTTGCAGTTAATCAGCTATGTCTTAGGAAAACAAAAATCTGCATTCTTAATTTTTGAAAAAGTAACGAGAAAGTTTGCTTATTGTAATTAACAGCTATCTTCAGGTCTCCCATGGAAAGCTGTGACATAGTTCACACGTCCACCAGTGAGGTCAGCCATAATTTTGAGGTCCTAAAAATTTATGTACATCATTGGAAAACACATAACTTCACTTATGCTGCAGATCATTCCAAGATACTGATCACCAATTAAACATCTTCTTTGGCTGAATTCACATACGAATTAATTTTGTTTGTAATAGGAACTAAAAATAGTATAAAATATTAAAACAATGAATTAAAAATACTGGAAAAGAAAGGCTGAAAAAGCAAACTCTTGGTAAAATATTTCTAAGATTTTTCTTTCTTTGTCCAGGTTGACCTGATCTATAGAGCAGTTTGATCTTTAAAAGAAAATAGTACAGTATAGGTTTTAGTACTTAAATCAAGGAATTATATTTTTGTCTAGCAGATGTTTTGCATGTATTCAAGAGCCATTTTAATGGAAAAATTAGATATTCCTAGAGAAGCAACCTCTATTAGAAAATGAAGTAGCACCATGTAATTATTTCTTTGCTATTCAGCTTATCTTACTCTGTTGTAACAAAAAAGGGCTTAAATCTTCATATGAATAAATGAAAACCTTAGGAAATACAGTATACTTGACCTCCTCACAAAGGATGCTGACGTTTTTCTAACTCTATGGGGTCCTCAGCCTCCATTCAGAGTAACAGAGATAGAGCCATAAAGCCAGGAGATCTCTGTCCTCTTACTCCATCCCTGTTCAGTCTGTAGCCCAGCCACAATTATTCCATTTTACTCAAACCTGCTGACTTCTGAACTGCATAACACTGATGTTACTGAAAGTGGGTGGATGCATGTGAAACAGGTCACTGTGTGGTAGGTCTGAAGAAATGGATGTGAAGACCTTGTGACTAAGCAGAGCAGGCTGGAAGAACCTGTGTCTCCCTATTGGCAGAGAGCCAAACTACAGGCAGGACTGAGCTTCTGAGCTGAGTATCAGGAATATACTAAGGCAAATAAGTTACCATTAGAATAGTCAGTTGAAAGGTTTAACATTTTACCATAATAATATGGATTTATAGTAGTTCTCATGAAATATCACCCAGGAAAGCAAGTCCTAGAACATTTTCTATATTGTATTGCATTAAAATGCAGAAACAAGTCGAGATTGCATAAAGGTTAAGTAGGGACAGCACGGGATATCAGTGTTCTTCATGCAGCCTTCTTAGAGATACCTCATGTTCTCTAAAGTTTACTGCTTGTGATAGTACACTGGTACACTTCTAGTCTTTTATGGAAAAATACTGTGTAAAAGGAAAAGAATTTCCTAAGCAGCTACATATTTTGACAGAAAATTGTTCTCCTATAATTTCCTGTAATTTCTTCTGTGAAATACCAAATCTAAATAAGATTATAATCTCTTTACACAATCTATTTGCTACAACATTTTTGCAAAGATGTTAAAGCAAATAGTCATTTTTTTAACATAAGAATTACCTGAATTATTTTATAATGCTGTAGAACTGCAGTAAATGGATTAAGATTGCAAGAAGAGAAAGTAGTTTTGGGGAAAAATTTCATAGAGTCAGAATCATTGGTTATAAATTAATCTTACGTGACAAAGAACCAACTTATCCTTATATCAGAATGTATGAATTTTTAGGATTCAGGAGGACAGAGACCATTTGTAGTCCATTTTTTCTAAGGTAGTATGAGAAAAAAATTAATTTCACTAAGAGGTTACAAAGTTTTTGCACAAAAAGAAAGGCCATAGCTGAAAGGCTGGCTGTAATTAATGCCCAAAAAATAAAGATCATATTTCTTATTATTTCAAGTCATCCTCTGATTAATCAAAGTACAAAAAGAACCCTAATTAACATATAAAATCACAGGAAAAACTGAAAAGTACTTGAATGCTAAACAGAAAAAAAATCCTAATGTCTTCTGAAGGTTTTTTGTCCTCTAAAAAAACTTAGATGCACTTAGATACACTCTGTGACCTCTGTCAGTTGAGTCAACCTCTGGCTAACTAAATAATTTGTATTATAACTCAGCAGAAATGTTGAAGTAAATCTCTAAATCATGCATATCTGGAACACAGTTTTCATTCTCAAAGAGAAGCAGTTTCTGTCAACTT